ATATAATGGAATTTGATGCGACTGTCGTACAAGTGAGAGGTTTAGCGCTATAAAACCAGGTTCAATCCACCATTTTCTACATTTGAAAATGCCTGTACCAAGTCAGGAATATGACAGTTGTTGTCCATTCGTTTGATGTGTTTTATCATTTGATTTTGCCTTTTGATTAGGGACTTTCCGTTTTGAATTTTCCTTGGAGTTCAGTATTTTTGTGATTTTACTTTTTATATACAGCATTGGATGTATATAATCATGAATCGAACCCTTTCAAGGTTTCTTTGTTACATTATCTTTATTTCTCATACATTGTGTTTTTGGTGTTGTTGGTACTTTTTATTTGTATTTTGATTTTTCAAAAATATAATTACTACGTTTTATTTAAACGTCGTGACTATATAACTCAAGTCCTACAAGACTTATAAACAAATCAGAACAAATGTCAAATATCATATTCATACTAATACGGAGAATTTTAATATATTTTCTATGGAAAAAACCGACACATGTCATTGACACATATATACTACAAAAAAGTTCGATCATGACGTTTACAATTGAAAATGTTATTGAAAGTTTAAATTCTTAGGTCAAAACAAATTATAATCTTACAATTGCTTTTTGCTGACTATTTGTAGTCAATCAAAATTTTATACGTTTACTTTCCTTATGTCGGAATGGTGTTACCTAAATATTGAAAGTTTTTGAAATAAGTAAAATAAATAAAACAAAATGGCATGAATTGCTTTCAGATAGGTGGTTAATCGTTTGTGTGTGTTTGGTATAATGCGCGCGCATGTGGGGGAGGGGGTGGGTTGAACTCTTCTCCCAATGTTAAAAAGAGAGGTAGGTTATAGACAGCATTCCAACGACATCTAGAGGTCAACATAGGTCAACAACAAACAAGTTTCTATATACTTTGTTAAACTGTATATCGTCCGGGAGTCTAGAGAAAAATCTGAATACGTTTGAGAATATACAATCAACACACAATTCCCCAAATATAAAACGAAAATAAAAAAAAAAACATCAGTAATATATAAGTATGGAGATTCCTGATTTTGGAGAGAGGTACATAAACATATTGCGGAGATAAACTTTTATTTCATTTACAAGAAGTTTTCATGTCAATCTTTGATTGTTTCAATTAAATTTACTCACTATTATTGATACTTTTATATAGTCTATTATGCAGACACCTATCTATTGTTGAAGACTATACTTTAAAGTTTAGAACGAGTGGCCTTCCCTATCTAAATTACCCCTATCAAGGGCGGATCCAGCCATTTTTAAAAGGGGGTTCCCAACCCAGAATAAAAGGGGGGTTCCAACTATATGCCCCCATTCAAACGCATTGATCGTCAAAAAAAGGGGGTCCAACCCCCGGAACCCCCCCCCCCCCCCCCCCCCCCCCCCCCCCTTTTCCCTGGATCCGTCACTGCCTATGATATATGACATATATCATTTTCCCGGGCAATGCGTGTGAAACAAAGTAATATTATTTATACAATATTTACAATACTTCTGTATCGTAGAAGAATAAAGAATGTTTAAACATTTCAAGTTAGGATATCTATTAATAGGGGTATTTATATTATTAAGTAAATATTTTAAATCAGAAGACAAATTTAGGATAGCACATCAGTTTTTCCGTAACAGTTACGAGCTTCTGATTGTCATAAAACATATAAGAGAATAAAGGCAACATAAGAAACGTTACACCTCATTTTAGTATCCATTTGCCTCGCATTGTGTCAAATCCATCTCAGGCAAGACGAAAATAAAAACTTTTAAATATGTCTAGAAAACATCGAGCATCTTTTTAGTCTTTTCATTTAAATAATTTCTATATAGGCAATATGGGGTCACAAACTTGGTTTTTATTCATTTATTGTATGTGTAAAAAATAAATGTCACTTAACTCCACATTTTTCATATTTGTATTACCTTTAAACTACATTGTATGTATTAGATGTAAGCTTCTCATATCTGAGGGCCGTTCAAAAAAGAGCAATAAGATTTGAAAAAAACAAGGAAAATGTTATTGTCTCAAATTTTTCAGAAGCAGTAGTTACGCTTTCACAAGATGTTTTGTAGTTATGGATTTGGAATGAAATCTTTTCTGTCATCAAATTGTGACCTTATCACTGTTTTTGTATGGCAGCATAAATATTTGAACTATCTTGTCTTTTTCTGGTTTTAATTGCCAAAATCTGAAACTTTTGCTGATAAATGATTACAGTTCCATTTAAATATATAATACTGCTTATTCTTCGTGTGGTTTGAATGGGGACGTTCAAGTCGATCGATGCCGGTGTTGGATAGTTGCAATCTCTCTGCATGTGATACCATTACAGCAACTTTGACAGAGATCTGTTATTGACAAGTTGCAGACGCTGTTTCGTCTACAGAAACCTAAACAGTTTCACCCGAATCGAAACAGTTAGAACGCAAAATTAACCACGAATTCTCAAAATCAGTATTAAGTCTGGCTAATGTTGATAACATGCTAAAACTATTCACAAGACCGAGGTTGTGTCTACATAGAGACATAGATGGTCTTTACCCAGATTTGGCACGACTTTTCGAAATTTTTAGTTTTTAATTCAAACTGTTTTTATTCGAGCTCCAATTATAATTATTATAATGACGAAACGCGCCTCTGGTGTACTTTATTATAAGTCTGGTATCTTTGGTGGGTTTTTACGGCCGTAGAAAACTCGAATTGTTTCGAATAATTTCAACATTAATTTTCATTAACCATAAACTTACAGAAAAAGACTGCATCCATGGTATTTCACATGCATCAGCATCAACATCTGTACTGATGCACAGTAAGGTGAGAGTTTTTGCTCCGTGTTCATGAAGAACAGCAATAAAAGCGATGTTGCTTTACTTTATGTGTTTGTTGCTGTGTATGTACTGATTTTGTGTCATGGATGGATACCCCATATCCTTTCTTTTCTATTATTTTCGGGCACGAATCATTCATCAACAAACTGACTTCCTATAGAATTTATAGAAAATTCGAATAGACCACATTGGTAACAATAGTTGTTATAAAGAAGTAAAGTTCAACATGTGTGCGCCAAATTAATTATTGTATTGAATTTATTTCGTTTATTTGCGTTTTTCGAAATTGTTTACCTTTAATTTGAATAAAAAGAAGATGAAAAGTGTATGTCAATGAGACAATAACCCAACGACACAAAAAGTATATGTCAATGAGACAATAACCCAACGACAAAAAAAGTATACATCAATGAGACAATAACCCAACGACACAAAAAGTATATGTCAATGAGACAATAATCCAACGACACAAAAAGTATACGTCAATGAGACGATAAACCAACGACACAAAAAGTATACGTCAATGAGACAATAACCCAACGACACAAAAAGTATATGTCAATGAGACAATAACCCAACTACACAAAAAGTATACGTCATTGAGACAATAACCCAACGTCACAAAAAGTATATGTCAATGAGACAATAAATCAACGACACAAAAAGTATACGTCAATGAGACAAGAATCCAACGACACAAAAAGTATATGCCAATGAGACAATAAACCAACGACACATAAAGTATACGTCAATGAGACAATAACCCAACGACACAAAAAGTATATGTCAATGAGACAACGACACAAAAGGTATACGTCAATGAGACAATAAACCAACGACACAAAAAGTATACGTCAATGAGACAATAAACCAACGACACAAAAAGTATATGTCAATGAGACAATAAACCAACGACACAAAAAGTATATGTCAATGAGACAATAAACCAACGTCACAAAAAGTATATGTCAATGGTACAATAAACCAACGACACACATAACCGATCGATTATTTTCTTTCTTGATCAAAATTAAGAAATGAAGATAGATTTCAAATTCCATACAGCCTTAATTTGTAGTTCCTGAGAAAGATGGGCCGAAAAATTCATATATATAAAATATAAAATAAGGAGATGTGGTATGGTGGCATCTAAGACAAATATCCACCCAGGTCCAAATAACGCGGATGTAAGCAACTATAGGCCAACGTAAGGCCTTTAACAATGAGAAACACACATACCATATAGAAAGCTATAAAAAGACCCAACAGGGCAAAATATGAAACAATTTGCGAGACTTGAATATTTCCACGCCGTTGTATTGTAAACCACTAACAACCCTCCTAAAGTGTACTGTAAATATAACTGAGAAAACAAACGGCCTGATATATGAAAAAAATACAAATATGACAGACAACAACCAACGTTAACCACTTAATGACAGGCCCCCGACTTAGGACCTACAGATAAAGAATTTGACGGGGTTAAACATGTTTGTGAGTACTCAGCCCTCCCTAACGTGGGACAGTGGTGTAACAGCACAATACAAGAACTATTTTTCTCTCTTCATTATTTTTATGCTCCCAATTATATTTGAATTCTTTTATTTTGGCAACCATTATATATCTTTTCTATATTCTGTATTTTAGCCTTTTTTTCTCTATTCTTTATTATTCTGCCCATTATTCTCAAATCTGTTAACCTCATCATACTTAAATGAACATAATCATGAGAGACAGATCTGCATAATTAACGACTGGTTATATAATTTTGGTCACTTTATTTTAGCACATGCATTTTTTTTAAATTTTATATTTTTAGGACCAATATGATTACCTATTATCTGATTTACAAAAGCTAAACTACCGTCTAATGCATAAGAATAAATTAAGGAGATGTGACGAAAACGTCAATGAGACAGCAAAACAACGACAAAAAAAAAACGACATAACGAGGGCAACATACAGTCAGCAACAATAGATGTCTATACAATATGCCAAACTCTAAATCGTCCAGAGTCTATAAGATTTGTAAATATATTTAACAGAAACAATCAAAATATATGCCATCAACACCCAATTATCCAAATAACGATTTTAAAAAAAATAAGATTAATCATTTAGCTTCAAATTTACCTGATTATAAAAATCCATTGTACTCCATAACATTTAATGTTAATAATATTTCAAAATAATAACAATCAAAACATCAAACAAAACAATAACAATCACTTCAAATGGCATCAACATTTTCACTTTGCGGGAATTTCAAAAAGTTTTGTTTCATAGAACGGTATGATGGAACAAGTCGTCGGTATTTTTATATTACAAGTTCCATAAACCGCCATGCAGTCTGGTAATTTTGCAGAGAGTCTCGTCCACAGACCAGAAACGGGACAGAACTTCCGGATCGCATTATTGCACTTCCCATCACTATTACAGCCTCCTGCAAGGAGAATGGAATCATCGTCTGTGTACATCCCAAAGTCTTTACTTTTCATAATTTGATTTTGACACCTCACAAAACAATTGTTACTGGGATCAAATCGAATAAAATCTCCGTCGTCTGAAGCCAGATAGATTTGTGAGTCAAAAACACAAGCTTTAATTTGAGTAAACGATAATAGAATTTCAGCAACGATGTCTGTGTTCTTTTTCACCGGGTCAAAAACGCAAACCACTGTCCTGTTTTGGCTGCAACCATCTTTATATGTTGCTGCAGAAAAGATGTAAATTTGGCTGTCATATAAAACGCAGGCTGAATATGACATTTGACACTCGACCGGAAGTTTGGACACAGTTTTCCACGACTTTTGACAAACATTGTACTCTTCAATTTGACGAACCGTTTTGCCGTCTGATGTTCCACCGATTGCAAAGCAACATTGATTGTGCGAAATTAAACTGAACTTTGAGCGACTATAGCGAAAAGTTGAAAGCTTTTTATATTTATTCAGTACTGGGTCATATCTGAAGAAACATTTTCCAAACGACCAGTACACATATGGCGGGTGGTCTTCAGCATCTTGCAAACAACAACACTGAAACTGTTTGCTAATTTTGTCCCCCTTTTTTATATTTCTGTAACATTTAACATGTTTTGTTGAATCCAAAACTACAGTAGTTAACACGCGTTTTACGCTTGTTGTATCGCAGGTAAAGATGGCATTGAAGCTTTTACAGGAATTTTTCTTTGTCTGGGATTGCGGTGTCCAGGTTAGGTCCGTTGATTTGAGTGGTGGATGTGTACCATTTAAAAGATTGTTTTTGTACATCTGATGCGCACTGGTTTGTAGCAATCCCAAACCATACTGTTCTGCTATGGCCAAATAGTGCTGGCAGTTGACAGTATTAAGTGTCGACAGTAACTTTGATTCGCAAACTGATTTAAGATGATTACAGTGCCGTGAAACAACTAAATAGTGTTCTATGTTTTCTATGTCAACTGTTTCTTGTTCAATAACCCCTGTTCCAAAAAATCCGGCTATTTTATTTCTAACAAATTCCGGGAGATTTTGAACATATTCAGCAATGTTAATGTCAGGAACATTATCTTTGTACAAATTTAAATCAGGCAAGTTGCTAAGGTTTCCCTGGCAACCAGATTGTTCAACATTCTTCAAGGTTTCGACTATTTCCGGTCCATTCGGGTCATTGCTCGAAACTATGGATCCTTTGGTCATGTCTGCACCTGTAAAAGCGAAAAAAATACACTTTTAGGAAAATAATTCTTTATATCAAATTTTTCATAAATCATACAAAATGGCAAATGTTTTCGCCTGTAAAAGTGCGAAAGAAAAAAATTTAGTTACTAAAAAATTATTCCTATTACAAAATTTTTCCATTAATAATGCATAAATAGCAAATTATGTACAAAAAACTGTTCTGCTTCGTATGAATTCAACATTAAATCCATGTTTATGTAATTAAATATTTTTTATTTGCATTTATAACTTTGATAACACTTAATACCTTTTAAACATTTAAGTCACTCGGAAGTCAGGACGAGACTGTGAAGTATTACACCCAAACGTCACTTTAAATACTAGTATATCCTTCCTTTTTGGCTAAGAGTCAAATTTTGGGAAACCCCATAGCAAAGACCAGTTTTTATATTTATATCAACTTAATGAAACTTTCCAATGAACTTTAATTTTAGGACAAGTTAAAAAACGAGTACAAGGATCATCTATACTAAAAGAGAGCAAACCGAAGTTTATTTGAACATGAATCGATATAACCATTTTTGTTTTTGATAAAATGTATAATTAAGGATGTGATAGGTTTTTTGATTGCCAAATAAAAACCGTAAGAGACCCATTTCAGTGTGCGCGACACGTATTTCTGAAATAAATGAGGCACCAGCCAGTCATTTTTAGTGATGCGCAATTTAAGAAAAATAAATTTGTATTTTTATTCAAACTTATCTATAGTGCAAGACAAAAAATCATACCCCCAAAACCCCAACGAATAAAATGTAATGTGCCTTTCACAAAATAGGATCGAGACCAAAACTTATGCCCCAACACCCCTACGAAATAAAATGTAATGTGCTTTTCATAAAGTAGGATCGAGACCAAAACTCATGCTCCCCAACATCCCCACGAAATAAAATGTAATGTGCCTTTTACAAAGTAGGATCGAGACCAAAACTCATGCCCCCAACACCCCCACGAAATAAAATTTAATGTGCCTTTCATACAGTAGGATCAAGACTAAAACCCATGCCCCAACACCCACACGAAATAAAATGAAATGTGCCTTTCATAAAGTAGGACCCAGAAGCAAACTGCTTAAAAATATTTGCAAGTATTAAAATAAAATGGTACCAAACCGTACATGATTCTCTAAGTATATCATTTTCAAAACTTTAGACTAAGACAAACTGCATCTTTTGAATCACGCATGCTTATATGGAATTATTGGTTTCTAAGAGAATGCTAACTATGGGAGCTTTGGGATTTACTGTCCGGCAACAACCAGTTGGAGTCTATCATATCTTCTTTCAGAGATTCTACATGTTAAAACTGTTTACTTGATTTGCTTGTTTCCACAGCCTTTTATTTGTACTTATTGACTATGATTGATTATAAATATGTAGACAATTCCGGAACCTGTAGTTCAGTGGTTGTCATTCGTTCATGTCTGTCATATTTGTTTTTCGTAAATTGTTTTGTTATAAATTAGGCCGTTAGTTTTCTCAATTGAATTGTTTCATTTTTTCACGTCGGGGCATTTTATCGCCGATTATACGGCATGGGTTTTTCTCATCATTGAAGGCGGTACGGTTGTCTATAATTGCTTACATCCACTTCATTTGAACTTTGGTGGATAGTTGTCTCATTGGTAATCATACCACATCTCCTTATTTTTACATATTATATATAATTTTGTCACTGGTGATTAAGGCAGGTTAGCATGATTTTCCTGCTCCGCTAGTGATAACAGAAAACTTAATTAAGTTTAAAAAAATCTCTTATTTTAACCGATTAATGAATGACTTGACATACAAAAAGATGATCGGACGAGGAAAATATTTTTTCAAGTGGAAAATTTCGCCTTTTTCGCTTTTTATATAGCATTTTTTCTCTGTAAAGAAAATCATCAGTAAATATTTACGTTGGATAATTTCTACAGGGATTTTAATTCTAGATTTTGTCAATTATAATTGTTAAACTGTGAAACAGTATAAATATATATTGAATACAGATGTGGAGCCCCCCACTCCCCCAAACAGTTCTCCAATATTGTACATGACTGTGAATAATATATACAGCTAACCTGTCAGTTGTATCTTCTTTGCTTTACGCCGACCAAATTTGTAGATCCAAAAATGAAGTTTGCATTTTCATAACAATCGTATAATTCACACAAGACCTCACGAGGAAGGACATGCACTATTGCAGAATTGTTTCGCTTTTCGTCTAATAAAACAGTTTGGGTATTCCCGATAAATATGTGTAGTGCTTCCTATAATCTAGACTAAACTCGTCCTTAATAATATTAAGTATATTCTAAAAGGGAAATAACCCTCATGTATTAAAACAGTTTTCTTCAATAATAATTATTACTTTAATTATGAAATCAGTTTTGACACATAAATTTGGTAACTATTCTGTTCATAAAATATCTTTTGTACTTAGAAAAGTCAACATAGTTTCAGTTCCAATTTTGCAAACTGAAAATTGAAGTATTTTGCTTTTCAGTATATCAAATGACTAAAAAATGTTTTGGGGATACCATAATAATTATGTTTTTTAAAGATCACTAGAAGTTTAAAATATATATCATGTAAAGCTAGATATAGTAAATTAAAGTTGAAAAGGTAAGGATACACAAATATCAATCATTTGATGTTATTTGTTTAAATGGAAATATATGTAGTGACGTTATCAGAGCCTCGGAGACGGATAAATGTCGATAAACAAGAGACAAACATAGCCTCTGGTATGTGAAAGCAGGTTAAATATCATGTATAAAATAAAGTTGAAAAAGTAAGAAGACAAAAAAATATCTATTCTTCAATGTATTTTTGTCTGGGTGTAATATATTTACAACTTGCCTAAAAGTAAAGATAGAAAGATAAAGGGGTGATTTTAATCAGTTTTTTAAAACTAATTTCAATTATATTTTGTCTCTTGAAAATTGTTTTAAAAAATTGCTGAACTGGTAGAACTGGTAAAAAACATTTGAAAGGGTGAAGAGGAATTTAAAAAAAAATGTATACTGATTTTTTTGGAATTTTACTTCAAGACAAATTCAGTATTTCAAATCCACAAATGGGGAGAAGGAACAAAGGTAAATAGACAGAGATGAACAGCAATACATATCAATTAATAAAATGGGATTTAGGGGAAAAGTCAATTAACAGCGATCCCACAACATAATTTCACAGGCACCAACGGGTCCATGACCCAAGCGCCTAGCGGTGTGGAAGCTCATTGAAATATTGACATCTAGATGTCAGCGACAGTCCTCCACCAAATAAAATTGACCACCATAATATAACCAAGCTCGCTGAAAGAGGCGCTAAACACCATAAAAAAAATAAACAAACAAATGGTCTACGTATAATAAGTTCAATGGACAAGAAAAGATATGATGTATCAAATCATGATCAATCTCTTCACGCATTTAACAAAACCGAAGGCATTTATTGCTGTTCGTCATCCCAAAAGTCACAATGAGACTTCAGCATGGAACAAACGCTCACTCCTCAATGGAGTATGACTCTAGAATCGGTCTATAAACGTTCGATTTTTTTGTTTTTTGTAGCACTCGCTTAGGCATTAAACCGATCGTCAAAAAGCTTCAGTCCAGAAGATTCGAAGATGTTCAAGACAACATAAACTTATGATCATGATGATGATCTCTAGTATTGACTCTCTCAAAGCTAGCTGCGCTTATAAACAGAAGAATGAAAATTGTGTAAAATCGCGATAAGAGGTGGATAGTGGAAACGAATCATGCTCATGTGAAAGTTGAAACGAAATACTAGGAAACTCTTAGTAGTTTCTGAGAAAGATGCAACGAAAAGTTCATGGTACAGACGGACTGACAGAGCAGTAACTCCCCTTTCTTCAAGTGGGCGTATAAAACAACTAATGGACGGATAAGCAGTAGATGTATGAGGGTCTGGATGAGATGGCGGTCTTTAATTCTGTATTTTTACATGTTTACGCCATTTTCCTTTTTTTTCCACCAATATTTTCTTTTTTTTTTAAATATATTTAAGTACCCTATTATTCTCTGTTCTTTATCCCCCCCCCACCCCCCTAATTCCTAAACCCAATCCCACTCATGTATGTCCATTAGATAAATAACAATCGTTATGCCTAATATTAACGGTACCAATTTAACTGCTCCAGATGCGCATTTTTTCAATAAATGTCTCTTCCGTGATGCTCGTAGCCAAAATTTGTGAAAATCCAAACCAAAACCAAAGTTAATACTTCCACGACTGTTAATTGAGATACATGCAAATTATCCACCTTAAATTTGGTCACACAACACATGTAATTTATTTGTCTGGTATAAAGTGGATCAAAGTCATCGTACAATCAAATAGTTACACATAACAATACAGTATTGTGTCTGAAGTGTCAATGATACACATTTTCTCACATGCATTGAGGTAATTTTGATACTTTTAAGTTTGATAAAATCAAAACTTCGCATGAGGAACTTATTTTTTTTTATCTTAAATCATCTCAATTGAAGTATTAAATGACTAAAATTGTACAAATAATCATTTAAGGAAACGTCAACTTTATGTGTTTATACAGTTCATGCCGAAGTGTCGCACTCAACTAAGTTGAGGGGTTCTAACGAGGAACCATAGGCATCGACTTTCTGTTCAGCGGCGGTTTTCAAACAAGGATCCTCCGAAAAAATAGGAAGGCTACTAAAATCTGGAACATATACTAAACATCAAAAATGTTTGGCCTAAAAGGCCGAGGGGTATACCTGGGTGGTCCCTATTGGTCTGGGATACTTAGTGACATACATTTTGTGTACAGAAACGCCTTGGAAAGACTCACCACACGACATATTTGAACGTCAAAAGTTTTGTATTTTACTGTTTTCTAGAGAGAAACAAAACAGTGAAAACCCGCCACATGTCCATGTGCCTTAACAAACTAGAGGGGCCTGATGGGTTGTTTTCGTTCTTCGTGATCGGCGCATTTTCGCTATCGCATGGTGATCCGTTTTTCTACAGATTTATTTTTTTTTAAATTTTCGTGATCCGTGATCATGGAAATTTATTTTCTGTGAATCGTGATTGACAAAAAAATCAACTCGTGAATCGTGATGAGACCCCCCCCCCAATCAGGACCCTCAAACTAAGGAACATAGTCTAAACAATAATAAAACATATGTGGTATGGTTGCAAATGAGACAACTTTTCACCGGAGA